GAGAATGTGATGACCCAAAAGGTCATCTTATGTTTTAGAACTCGAATTTGCTCTCTCAAGCCTTAAAAACCTCATTTTTACCCTCATCGATTTACGTGCGCAGTCCGGATAGGTTTTCGGAAAGCTTTTATGTTGAAAACTAATAAAAATAAGAATTTTTACCTTAAAAGTTGATTTTAATTGACTTCGGTCAATATTTTTGGTAAACATGCCTGGATCCGTGTTTTGATGGTCCCGGTGGGTCCGTATCGAATTATGGGACCTGGGCGTATGCCCGGAATCGAATTCGGAGGTCCCTAACTCAAGTTATGAATTTTTGATGAAAATTAAAAGTCTGAAAATTAATTATTTTTAAGAATTGATTGATGTTTGGCATTGTTAGTACCGGGTCCGTATTTTCTTTTTGGAGCCCGGTACAGGTTCATTATGATATTTATGACCTGTCTGTGAAATTTGGTGAGAAACGGAGTTGATTTGACGTGATTCGGACGTCCAGTTGAGAAAATAAAAATTTTAAAGTGTTCGTGAGAATTTCATTTGATTTGGTGCTAAATTCGTAGTTCTAGGTGTTATCTTGGCGATTTGATTGCACGAGCAAGTTCGTATGATATTTTTAGACTTGTGTACATGTTTGGTTTGGAGCCCCGAGGGCTCGGGTGANTAATCATCGCGAACGCGAGCTGGGTCTCGCGAACGCGAAGGCTTGGAGCCAGTACCCTTCGCGAACGCGACAGTGCCCTCGCGAACGCGATGAATACTGTCGCCCAGCACTTAACAGAATCCAAAAACAGGATTTTTGCCAAAAACTCATTTTTCTCAAAAATCAAATAGTGAGGGGCGATTTTTCAAGAGTCATTCCTTCCCCAAATTGTTGGTAAGTGATTCTAAACTACTTTTTTCAATTACCCTTTACATTTCTTGAATTTTCAACCTAAAATCTAGAGTTTTCATGGTAGAATTAGGGGTTAGGGTAGAAACGAGGGATTTTGGGAATTTGGAGATTTAGACCTCAATTTGAGGCCGGATTCCAAAACTAATTATATATTCGGGCTCGGGGGTGAATGAATAAAAGAATTTTGGTCCGAACCTCGGGTTTTGACCAAGCGGGCCCGGGGTCAATTTTTTGAATTTTAGAGAAAAATTTGAAAAATTTAATTTATGCAATATAATTGATTCCTTGAGCAATATTGATATTATTGAGTCATTTTTTAATAGATACGAGTGGTTTGAAGGTGAATTCCAAAGGAAAAGCTGTGATTGAGAATTAAGTAGCATTCGGAGCGAGGTAAGTGTTGTGTCTAATCCTAACTTGAGGGAATTATGAACCTTAGATTATTTGCTAAGTGAAATTCATGTGAGCGGCATATATGTGAGGTGACGAGTACTTATGCGCCGCCAATTTACCTGTTTTCCATGTTTCTCTATTTTTCTTATATTGTCTCATTCCTATGCCAAATTGCTACGTGTTATACTAGTGTTGTTCAATTTATCGTTCTTATCATGTTTACGAATTTTCTGGTGATAATTGAGTTTTTATTTGAAAGTTGAGATTGATATTATAGAACCAAATGTTGAAGTAAGGTTTGTACTTGTTATTCTATCTCCTTGTTGTTATTTATGCATTGCATTATGGTAAGGAAGAGTGTTAATGCACGAAGGGTGATGCCGTGCCATATTGTGAGTGTTAATGTACGAAGGGTGATGTCGTGCCATATTGTGAGTGTTAGTGCACGAAGGGTAATGCCGTGCCATATTGTGAGTGTTAATGCACGAAGGGTGATGCCGTGCCATGATATGAGAGTTAATGCACGAAGGGTGATGCCGTGCCGTTTCTATTGATTTTATGGTAAGATTGAGAGTAAAAGCACGAAGGGTGATACCGTGCATATTTCCTTACTATATTCACTATTCCTGTTGATTTATAGTGTATTGACTGCTCCGGTGATCATTTTGTTGTAGTTCTTTACTTTGTATTTCCCTCAGTATGTCCTCCTCCCGATATTTTCTGTTTAGTTCTTCATTTTTGTTATTTGCATATACACTGTTAAATTGTACAGGTTAAATTGTAGGTGTCTTGCCTTAGCCTCGTCACTACTTCGTCGAGGTTAGGCTCGACACTTACCAGTACATGGGGTCGGTTGTACTGATGTTATACTCTGCACTTTCTATGCAGATTTTGATACTGGCTCAGGTTGATCGAGATTGGTTACTGGTCCGATGTCCGGAGACTCAAGGTAGATCTGTCGGCGTTCACAGACCTTGAGTCCCCGTCTATATTTTATGTCCTACTATTTTTTTTCATTCAGACAGTTGTATTTCTTTCAGACTATTACTTGTAGTAAATTCTAGAATGCTCGTGAACTGTGACTCCAGATCCGGATGGTAGTAATTAATACAGTTTTACGATATTCCGCACTTATTATATTTCATCTTAGTTAGTTATTGTTATTTACTGAATGAAAATAAGAAATTGGTTTAACGATTTTCTAACATTGGCTTGCCTAGCAAGTGAAATGTTAGGTGCCATCACGGTCCCGTCGGTGAAAAATTTCGGGTCGTGACATACATGTATGTGAGATACATTCGTGATACATGTGTCGCATAAATAATTTTTGAAATCGATTTTAACTATGAATTTTGATATCAAATCAGTCCAAATCACCTCCAATCTTCCTCAATTTTGCATATTGACTGATCTATATATTTCCCATGAATTATTTCATCACTTTATTTGGTACCCCATCCATGAAATTTTTTTTTCGTCTTGCATCTAATATTGGTAATCACACTTCAAAATATGGAAGGAGATCTTTGTGCATGATTCTTAAGGAGAAAGAACCTTATTTATTTGGGTTTTTAATTTTTATATGTGCTTGGCAAATTTTAATAAGTCTATGATTAATGGATAGAGGTTGGTAAGTTGAAACTTATTTGTGACATTTCATTCCTTTAATTCATATACATTTGGCTCTTCAAAGAGTTATGTGTTCCAATAATTGTGTTTTAACATACATCTAAAGTATTATAAATAAATAATTATTTAAAATAATTAAATACTACCTCTTTCAAACCTCCAAAACTTGACTGCCAGCTTCTTGTTCTCTAATTCTCAAATATTCATACCGTACTTAGAAAATTTTAATTTTTCTGAACTTGAATTTTTCTTGACTTTTTAAATCCCGAATGAATTCTACACAAATTACGAACGTTAAAGCATCTCTGCTGCATATACTGATGACTCTCTCACTAAAATATCAAAAGCGGATCCAAAATTTAAATTTTAAAAATTCAGATTTATAACTCTACCATCTTTGTCTAATTTGGTAGGTTGAAAATCTAGTATTTGTATTTATTTGATGAATTTTTTAAGGCATATATTTGATGTAAGCCAAAAGTTATAATTTGCTATTTCGATACGCATGCAACATCAAGATTCCTAACACCAATTTTAATAATATAAGATAATATTTGTAGTTATCAACAAATTGTGGAATAATATATAGTAAAGATTGAGTGCCTTAATGTGTCATCCATCTACAGTATATATCATAATTCTCACGTGATATAAAGCATCTTTATGTAAAGCAAGTTAGCTCAACTTGTAGTATTTATTTTCTTTAATTTATTTCTTAGCTCTTATTGGTTTTCGAAAAAAACCCTTTAATGATTTTTCTTTCACTTATGCGGAATATCGAAGAATATTATTTAAAAGTAATAATTCTTACTTCAAAATTTACGTTAATTATTGGGGTATTATCACTTTTAGCCCGCGCCAAAAACTATTTATATATGGTAGCCGAAAAAGTGTATAACATTTGTATAATTTTTATATATGACATATAAAATATATATATATACAAAAAATATACAAGTTTTATATATTTTTTCTGCTATTATTTTTACGGCGGCTATACAGTGTCATTTTTCCTTAATTATTACTGTAACCAATTAATTTCCTAAGCTTCCTTGTTGGATCAGTGCAGAGACTAGAGGGGCGAGGCTCTTAGTACTTTGGGCTCAAAGCCCAAAACCAAAATTGCAACAGTCCGAAAAATAAAAACAAAAGAAAAAGATTAATATTGTATCCGGTAAAAAAGTAGAGAAATTTTTAAAAGCCACTATTGTTTAGTGGCTATTAACTTTCTATAGCTACCATATACTTAATTACTTCCTATAGCTACCTTTTTTAGTTGTTATGGTAATGTATTTGATGTATTCAAGCTATTGTATTCATGAATATAGTAGCAAAACTCGGCTAAAGAATAGGACAACACAACTGTACGGCGATGTATTCACATGTACTCGTACCATGTATTCATGAATATAGTAACGATAATTAACGTAAAAAGTGGATTAATTAACGTGATACACTCCTAATATAACTCAACAAACACCATTATAACACGCAACATTATCAATCCAATTAATGAGAAGATTTTATATACAACAAACACCAAAAAACAGAGCCATCTTCAGAGTTTCACTCCTTTTTTTCCCTAGTATCGTTCGATATTTTTTCCCCAGTGATATTGTTCGAGGTTCTGCTAGGACTTGATAGAGTGTATGCTACGGTACCCCATTTTGCTTTTATATAGAACAGCGTATATAAGAAATTCAAAAAGAGTCATGCAAAGTTGAGCGAGGTATACTTTACAATGGCTAAAGTATACACCCAGGATAAATTTGATAGTCTAATGAAAAGTATGGAGAAGGTAGATATTCGGGTCAAAGATTACTTGGAATTAGCTGGATACGAAAAGTGAGCTAGGTTGTATGCACCTGTTAACCGTGGATATACCATGACGTCAAATATTGCTGAGTCAATCAATTCGGCACTTGCATCAGCTAGAGAATTGCCAATATATGACTTCCTAAAATAAGTTAGGAAGATGTTTGGACGTTGGAATTGCAGCAATCAAAAAGAAGCTTCACACACGTACACAACGCTGGAAAAAAAATATTAAGAGATCCTTACATTGAATGAGGCACTATCTACGGGAATGACTGTAAGTTTTTTTTCTATAAGTAATTGCATTGACAAAATTAAGATATATGAATACATCATATATTTATTCCTGATACAACATGTGTTAGTAACCTACTGCCTTCCCTTTTAATAATAACACTAGTGCATGCATTCTGTTGTATCTAACGGTTGTATTCAATATATTCAAATGTATTCTTGTATTAACTGTATATTATATATTCATAATACATGTTACTACAACTGTATTGTGTATATTGCATTTGTTGTATTCAATGGTTTTCTATTTGTATTGACAATATTTTACTGTATTTCACAAATAAATATATTCACTTTAATACTTTGTCTGTTAAATAGTGTTTGAATTCAGTGTATTTCAAATATGTTTTTCTTGTATTCATGTATACTGTATTTAATACGTTAAGTTATTGACATATACATGTCTTGTACAAATGTCCACAACTTATATTTCTCTGTTTAATGTAGGTTATCCCATCGGCTGAACACTTGCACGTGGTGAACGATGAAGGAAGGTATTATATTTCTCTGTTCCAAGTTGACGAATTACCATTCCCACATGCTTGGGCTGTCTTTAAAAGCAAGTTCCTAATGCCGGAAGATTATTGTTCGGACTATTATAAACCAAAGTCTGTTGTAATGACATACGAGGTGCTCGTGTATCTGCTGCTTGACCGAAGTGAATGGAATATACCAACACATATATCAGAGGAAGTTGTCTTACCACCCAAATGGAAAAGACCTCCTGGAAGGCCAAAGAAGAAGCGCGATAAGTCGTTAAGTGAATTGCTTCAGAAGAAAAATCAACATTTGTGTAGTATATGTGGGTAGGGAGGACATAATAAGCGTACTTGTAGAAATGCTCCACGTAGGAATTAGTTTCTTGTTCTGATTGTAATTACTGAAATAACTATATGGCATAGATTTGTTCAAGTTTTCTATTACATAATATTTCTTGGTGTATTGGATTCTTACTGGATGAGTTTTTTAAGTTTAGATTACTAAATTGAACGCTATTATGATGTATATGCAAGTATGAGGTATAGAAGGACATGTATACATAAAATAAAAAAGTGTGCATTCAAAAAATAATTGAATACATATGTAATATAATTCCAAACAAACTTCTGAATACGTAATATAACTATGTACATAATTATACTAATACATAAATACAGCAGAATACAAACATAGAAAACAAAATATAATATAATCACTGAATATATTTAAGTTCTAAATATAATAAATACAGTAAAATATGATGAATATAACCAGATAAAATAGTGAAAACAACCATTGAATACAATATTTTCTATCATTTAAATATAGCAGGGATGTAAAATCATTGAATAATGCTGAATATAGCAGGGATATATATCAGCAAAATACAACTATATAAATACATAATAGAACTATGTGGATGATTATGCTAATACATAAATACAATGGAATATATAAATTAACAGCATATATTCAATTCTGTTATGGATTGTATCATTAACATCTTAAAGACAACAAGACATTCATGTATTCAAAACCAAAAAGGTTGCATACAACCATGATGTATTCAGTAATAAGCTGCAAATACAATCCGTTTTACAGAAAACTATTCTAAAACTATCTTCACAGAAGTATCCGAATATGTGATTTGCCTAACAATCTTTGCGGGTGCTTCATTGTCGCTTATCGCATCGACGTCTATCTTCCGCATAGCATTGTCCCAAAGGAGGGCACCATATCTTTGACGGAGTAAATTGACATCAAAAGTTATTTGTGGAACCAATCCATAAGTGCTCAAATACTCTGCGTATGCTGCGATATACAACCCAGTCAAATACAATTATTTAAATAGGACTAAATGCATACATGCTCCCAGCTCTTTATTGAGGCAGATTTGAAACAAAAACAACATCAAAAGGCTCAGTTTGTGCTTTGTCATTGTATGTTGGTTCACGGGACCAATCTATGTATTGCGTGTCTCTGTAAAAATCACTGATCTATAGGTACAGAGGTATAAGCTTAGCAAGCTTATATGTCTCAGAAATCACATAAGAATCATGACCTGCTGATCGGTAGGAGTCATATACATTGATACACCTCTCCTTAAATGAGACAACTGTCAATATCCAATGAAATTTGTCTTTCAAGTTGACTGGTATCAAGACATTGTCTTAGCTAGCAATTTGTAACCCCTTATGTATTCACATACAACATCTTCTTCCTTGGCTAAACTTGACTCATTATTTGTATCATTATACTTGTCGAAGATTTCAGCAATTCTTGTCTTGAATATGCAAACAACAGTGGTGTATTTGAATATGTTACTTTGATTGTACTTGCCCTTCTTTCTCAAGTAGTAAAATATGACATCAATATGCTGTATATAGATTGAATACATAGCGTCAATACATTGAAGTCAAAAATAATGAAAAATATCTTTTTAACAGTGAATACAATTAGTATAAAATATTTGAAATATATTGAAATAAAACCTAGGAAACCAAACAGAATATATTGACTGAATATAGTGAATTTTTAAAGACAATGAAGATGCTGAATACATATTTCAATATAGTGAATACAATAATTATATATTAAGACACTGAATACATATTTCAATACAATGAATACAGTGATTATAAATATTTGAAATATATTGAATACAATAGCAATATGTTTTGGGAATAGCTAAACTATTATTAATAAAAAATACATCTAAATATATACTTCAATACATTGAATACATATTGCTGAATAAAACAGTGACACAATGAAGTTTGAAAAACAGAGAAGACACTAAATACAATGAGATCCAGTGAAATACACTGAAGACATTGAATACAGTGAAGATACTGAATACAGTGAAGTTTGAATATATAATGAATACATATTTCAAGACAGTGAATAAATTGATTATATATTAAAAATACCGAATACATATTTCAAAACACTGAATACAGTGATTATAAACCTTTGATATATATTGAATACAACAACAATATGTATTGAGAACAACTTAACTACAGTTAATATAAAATATATATGAATACACTGAGAGTAACATAATGAATACAGTGAGTCCAAAAGACTATTATGCTGAATAAAATAGTGAAACACAAATATTGACACATCATGAATAAAACAGATAAAATACACTGAATACATATTTCAAAATATTGAATCCAAACAATGAAAAAATTGAATATAACCAAATTAAATGTATAAGGGATATATCTTACATCGTCATTCCATAGTTGCCCGTCAAATGATAGAAGATAAAACTAATTTTTTCCAGTGATTTCATGAACTCTAAAATCCAACGGTATAGGCAGTGTTGACTTGTGTTTCTTGTAATGGTCTTCCTTATCCTTTCTAGAAGGATTTAGAAAAACAAATATTATTCTTCATACTTTAAAGGGTAAAACCCTACATTATAGATCGAAAAAGAAACTTACTTTTGATCATGTTTAGCCAGCAGACCATCACGACCCCATTTCTCGAATTCTTGAATGAATAAAGTATGATGTGGCCCCGATATTAAATCATCTTCAAAGGAATTGTTTTGTCAAATATGGGAGTCAATTTTACTAAATTACCTTCAGTTCATCGGAGTCATTAATAGTGACATCTAATTATAGTTGACATGGGAATATAAAACATAGCTTTTGTATACAAATTTACTGACCGGCCAAGTCGAAGTTTGTCTCATAAGGCGAAGAATTCTATCGACTTGGACGTCGAGTCCTATACGAAGGTAATGTCGTTGAATCAACAAGTTTAGGTGCTGGATGTATCACAATTCTAGTTTCTAGAATTTGACTTGGAAGGTCCTCGTTGGCCAACTCAAATTGTGACATATGTATTTCTCCGGATACATCCTCGTCAGTTTTGGGTGGTATGACACTCGACACCTCTGATTCAGTAGGCCCCTCATTTCTTAATTCACCACAGACATGAATCTCCTCTGTAGATGCATTCAATGTGTCTTCACTTAAAATAGCATGTGGAAGTCCATCGGCATGAATGTCTGTGTTCAGCTTCCTTTCCATAGCCTTAACATACACCCAATGGAATCTATTAATATGTTATATAATTGAAAGAAATATATTTATCAGATTAGAATAAACATAAAGTTCCAAATTCAGAGTAGGTGTATACACATGTATTCTGTAAATGTATCTACATGTATTCTATAAATATATTCACTAATATAATGTTGTATTCACATGTATATAAGTGTATTCTAAATTATGTATGCTGCTGTATACATGATTACACTAAAGCATCGTAAAGGCTGATTAAAAATATGTATTCAAAAAATCATGAATACAGTTATAGCAACATATAAATACACTGATTAAACATGTATCATTATACTACATATATACTAAAAAGGTTAAAAAATTTTAACCTATGAATTCTCCCCAACAGCTATATCATGTTGTATTTGGCCTTCAGGATTATCATAGCCTCGGGTAAACTTTGAATACCACCTTCATATCTCCTAGTATATTAAATAATAATGAATTACCACGTTTCCCTAGTCGTTGAACATGCCGTTCATCAGGTAAGCATAAGTTAGTTGGTTGTCAGTGGTTTTCCAATTGAGTATTCTAAAAATCCGGTTATCAACTCAGAGTGCAATTTTGGGATCGACCTATGACAACACTCGTACAACCATACTTGCATAGCGAGAGGCATCCCAACTATCCCGTAATACTTCTTCTGGGAATCCATCTTCTTGCTAATAGATTTGATAAGGGCCTCGAATGCCTCCTTACCCCATGGGTAATCAGAATATCTCCCGCTCTCGACCAAGTCAAAGTGTAGTCTTGGGATGATTGTGCAGTTTTTCTCAGTGGATAATATGAATGTATGTATGAAATACAGCACAACTATTTTAATGCTATCTCCATCGTTGTCAAAACCCCAATTCTTGTCATCAAAGCATTTCAACAAATCGTTCTTCTTGACATTCTTTGCACCGCCAAAGTATGTATCCACAATCCTGTTAGGCATCTTTGTGTTAAACTCAAAATCTTCACCGTCACTAATACAATTGAGACCAGTAACTACCGCAAACTCCTTGATTGAAAAGCATAATGTTGTATCATTCACATATATTAAAAATGAATCAGCACGACTTTCTTCCAGCTGCAGAACCATGAAGCACCTGAACAATTGATGTTGAACCTCATATTGCTTCATATCGAGGAAACTTCCAAAACAAGTAGTACCAAATAATTTATACTGATATGGAGTAAGCTTTTCTTTGAGGTCGGTGATTATGTCGGTGTTAGTGTAGGAACTGATATGCGGTGATAAAATAGGCGGGTATTTAACAAAGAGTTTTATTTCCTGCATACAAAAAATAATTAAAAAGATAAAATATATGGTTGAGAATATAAAAGAATACAGTTAGTTTGAATACATAAGTCATTCATGAAATACAACATAATGCAGTGATAATTACCACAAAATCTGTGAGTTATGGCAATGATTGTTGTTTTAAATATAGATGAATACAGTTAGGTTGAGAATAAAGATGAATACAGTTAGGTTGAATACATAACTAATACAGAACAATTATTGTATTTAAAAATATTGTTGAATGAACTAAAATACATATAAATACATCTAAATACAACACTCAAAAATTACTATACAAAATAAAAATCAGTGTAGGCAATATCGAATACATCTAAATACAACACTCAAAAATTACTATACAAAATAAAAATCAGTGTAGGCAATATCGAATACATCTAAATACAAGAAGAGACAACTACTGTACAAGCTAATAATCAATGTATGCGGACTCGAATATATAT